TAATACTAAGAGGGCCTCTTCAATGCGATGCGAAAAATAAGTAAGACTGGATTATCTTCCATTGACAATAACATGTTAACAAGTTATAAAACATCAATGGAGCAAGAGGTTTTTATGAACATAAGTTTATCAACAGCGAAAGATAAATTAATTTGGTGAACATAATGAGCGTGATATTCTCTACTGTAAGTAACACACACAGAAAGTTTCTGGTAACACGGGTTACAGCCGAATGTTCCGAAAATTGAACGTAAAAAAAAAAGAAGTTACACAGTAGGCCTAATGTTCATTCAGGTTATTATATTACATAAACAGTAATACGTATATAATATTCCAGAAGCCTATATTACTGTCACCATTAATTGAAACTTTCTAATGCTTTAAAAAATTATGTCAAAATTCTCATAACAATAATAATTTTATTATTATCATTCGAGAAATATCACACATTCTGTAGGAGCTTTTTCTGAATATCTAGCGGAAGTCTTTCGGACTATCGGCCCTTCAGAATAATGGTCCTTCGGTGTGTTCTCGTAACACAGACAGAATGAGCTGGAATGAAATGCATGTTGAAACATGCAAAATTATATAAAGGTAACTATATAAATCTAGTATCAGATTTATTTCTTGGCATATATTCAGCTATTTGTAAAAAAACAGCAGCAGTTATAAGAACTAATATTTGAGTATTGTTATTGATTTGACGTTTTTATCCCAAAGTGTGGCGATTACAAAGATTAGTATAAGTATACACACCTGCAGTTTCTTATCTCACGGATTAACAGAAACATTACCCTCAGTTTAAATACACTGTGTGATGTATTAGTAAAATACAAGTGTCGCTCTAAAGTTGTTTCTGAAGAAAGACGAATACGAACTGATAACTATCCGTTGTTGAATTTATCTCAGCGATAAAGTTTAAAAGAAGTTTTGGTAGCACCTTTCAAGCACGTTTTAACATAAGCAAACAGTAAATAAATATTTCAAACTTAACCATCCTTACAGTAAGAGATTAAACTTCAAATGCAGTCTCTATAGCAGAATAGGGAGTTACATGATGCAAGCCTATTTATCTAGTGGGTGAGAAGAGAGTTATTGGTGCAGATATTGTATACTAACATAATTAGTCTAATAAATCATCTACTGTATTTCACAAGACAAAACATTTACACGTTACAGTAGCTGCTTCAACAACAAATAGTATTAAATCCTTCCTGTAACCATCAATTAACCCTACTTGCGAACTTCATTGTAATCACGATGTTTAATGTCCGTAGAAGAAAGACCTATGGTTTTATGGTCCCATAGGCTATAATTCCCAAAGATCTTTAGATTATATCATTTATATATCCTAAACTTTGAAATATAAATTATCACCAGATGGTTGGCAATAGCAGATAGTTATACCCTCGAGGACCCCTAAAATGGCAAATAGTTCCCTTGGCATACTTAAAGTAAATCAAAAAGTACAAATTTATTATATAAATGTAGTTAAATTCTTCAATAATTGTAAGTATCAGTATTTGCACAGAATAACTGTACGAAAATTTTGTGCGTGTCAGATCCAATACTCTAGGCGTAGTGATTTGAAATTTGTAACGTCACATTACCTCTTTACTGCTTTCCCATATTTATATTTCTATGTTGATTATTAGACTTCAACTGTATATATACAGTTTTAATCCAAAAACTAGGCCTAAAAGTAGGTTTAGATGTGTTATACTGGGAGAGTTGTCTGTGGAAGTAGGATCCACACATATTGGTGAGAATAATATACCGTTTATGAAACTTACTTCAATCCACAGGCTTCACACTTTATATATATTTCATGTCTTTTTATGCAACTATCAAAGCTGTAGGATGTATGGTTTTCACATGAACAATATGTGCCAGCCCGAAATACCATTATTAAATCAAAGTTATTGTTGAAAATGGTTATTTTTTTCCATTGATGAGTTGGTTTTGAAAATGTTAAAAAAAATAAAAAATACACCAGTATTTACTCTGCTGTGAAATATAATGCAAAGAGTACAACTATATTTTCTCCTGTGAAACTTACTATATAAAGCATATTACACATTTATTTTCTGTTTACCAAAGGTAAAATTGAAAATACAATTTGTGACGTTGAGACCTAATGTATTCTTTGATTCGCTCTATCCTCTATGGTGGACTGCAGTTTCGCCTACTTAAGGCTCATAAGCATAGGCTTGGGTCAGCAAACCAGAAAAATACAGTTTGGTCTCTAATAAAGGTGATGTGTATATAATATCAAAAGGGTTTTTGAGTCTTCTTTATCTCACCATATAGTAATCTAAGTTAAGTTAGATGTGTAAATAATATTATGGCATTTTGGCCAATTTATCCTTCGAATATAGCATATAGAGTGTACTAGTATTTGTTTCCTGTGAAACATAACGCACAGAGTACAATATTTTTCTCCTGTGAAATATAACGTACACGATACAACAATATTTTCTCCTGTGAAACACGGTGTGAAACATAACGTAAAGATTACAATATTTTCTCCTGTAAAATATAACGCATAGTATACAACAATATGTTCATCTGTGAAATACGACATATAGACTGCACAAATTACCTCCTGTGAAACATAACGTATACGATACAACAATATTTTCTCCTGTGAAACACGGTATGAAACATAACGTAAAGATTACAATATTTTCTCCTGTAAAATATAACGCATGGTATACAACAATATAGATGAAACACGACATAGAGAGTGTACACATTTCCTCCTGTGAAACATAACATACAGAGTGGACAAATGTTTTATTCCTTGAAGCATAATGTAAGAAGATATAGATACTCTCTTAAAATAATGCCTATGCAAAGCCTAACACCAAATGTGTTCAGAAATATATCGTCTTTAAAATCGTCCTTTTGGCTAATCACACCTCTCAGTAAGCTTTATACAAGGCTAATACCCCTATTAACGTTTAAGGAGTTACTTTACAATCCTTTTAACAGATGAAATAAGAGACCGTGTAATAGAAACACTTGGGTGTTCGAATATGTCAAAGATGTGTTCCAGGTGATTTATCTAACTAAAGTATGTATTAAAAACTACTCCACATCTTTAAGTTTAAATTAATAATAAGTTGTGCATTCAGAAACTACTCCACATCTTTAAGTTTAGATTAATACTAAGTTGTGCATTCAGAAACTACTCCACATCTTTAAGTTTAGATTAAT